TTCATTGCATAGACTAATACAACTATTATACGATGAAAATACTTGATCCATCTTTCGTGTTAGACTAGACATATCCTCTGTGGATATTTGTTTGATCTTGAATCTTCAGTATAGAGTCTGTGATAGGGGTGGGAAGTTACCAGTTCCCGGGTAACTGGTAACGGGGCAGTTACCAGTTACTTTTTCAGGGTAACTTCTTTAAAACGACGAATTATGACTTGCTATGATCGAATTTTGTCGTTAGATTAATTTTTAAATTCCGGAGTTATCTGGTAACTGGTAACTGGTTTCCCGTTACCAGTTACCGGGTAACTCCGAAATTCAAACATTAATGTTTTCACAAAATTCGATCATAAGAAGTCATAATTCGTCATTTTAAAGAAGTTACCCTGAAAAAGTAACTGGTAACCGCCCCGTTACCAGTTACCCGGGAACTGATAACTTTTTCCGTAGCAACCGTTACCGTTACCGTTCCCGGGTAACGGTTCGGGAACGGTACCTTCCTACCCCTAGTCTGTGGACAAGTGGAATGACAACGGATTATCCTTTGAGGATTCGAGTGTCTTGCTTTCTCTTTTGAATTGTTGTCAAATATCAAACTCACACTCACGCTCACCCTCCGTACATGCTTTTTTTCGTTTTTTCGTGAATAGTCGATGCCTTTGCACACAGCGTCCTTGAATAGCGGCCTTCACTTGCATAGTAAATATTTGATAAGAAAATGGAGAATGGCGCACTTTGTTGGCTTTCATCAGCAGGCTTTTTTTCCAACTTACAAGAATAATCAACAAAGTCAATACACAGGTGAATTGACGTTGAATCACCAAGTGTTGACGCCTCCTCACCCTCAATGTATTTGTTTCTGGCAAGCATGAATAAACCTCTATTGCAAAACAAAAAATTCCTTCCTAACGTTTTTATTATGCTAAACATGCTGAGACATTTCACCATGGATACTATTGCATCGCACGTTGTATGCTTCTCTTTCTTTCCAATTCATCACTTCAAGTAGTCGTCACTATCGAACAGGTAACTACATCGTTAAACACAAGAGAAACCCCATGTAAAAAAACCTGATTGGAAAAATCGATTAAAATCATACGATTTTAATCATTAATTTAAACGGAAATAATCAATAAAAAATCATCATTTAATCGATTATTATTTCGCTTTTGATTATAATCGATTTTTTGAAAAAATAATCGATTATATGATGATTTTTTATTGATTATTTCCGTTTAAATTAATGATTAAAATCGTATGATTATAATCGATTAAAAATCAGATTTTTTGTGATTTTTTTAGGAACCTTTTTTACATGGAACATCGGCAAACAACAATGTCGACAAAATGGCCCCATCTTATTGGATTAGACTCTGACAAAGTTGTTGAAGCTTTAAAGAAAGAAGGTACGTTATTTGTTTTAGTTTAACCCTGAAACGCCCACCTGGGGTCCGCTCGGACCCCAACTGGTTTCATTCTAATGTTTTACACCCATAATCGTAGATCATAAAACACCTCTCTAGATATGCTCTAGTGAAGACTAGTAGAGTATACCATTGACAGCATTCATTTATCATCATTGATTATCCACGACATAAATTATCCCAAAGTACAAATATACGCTTGTTGCCCACCTGGGGTCCGGATGGACCCCATAGTATAACATCAGTTTTTGCTCTTTATTTGGTTATGACTTTTTATTTTCATATTGTATATCATTTTCTCGCTCTTGTGAGAGTATGCCAGAGCTGTCAAATAAATTGAAAAGCATGTTAATGGCTTTAGAACGTTGTATTCTATATGTTTGAGTACTCCTACAGGTTTTCTGTTAGTTTTCAGATAATTTTGTCTCACATATAGAAAGTTGTCTATTTCATCGAAAGTACTTTTGCATAGTAATCTAATATACACATCTTTTCTTTCTTTCTGCTATTGCCATGATGTCACGATATATACATGTTCCAAGGAATGCCAAATCTCAAACTGGTACAAATTTTGAAATCTACATGTCAAAATTTTCAAATTTCATAATGTTTTAATTTTCAGATTTTCAAATTCTCAAATTTACAAAGTATGACAAAATTTGAAAGAGACTGAGATATCATATATTTACTCACACTATATCTTTGTAGTACCTTTAAATTGAAAAAGACACCAGAAATCAGATATCAGATATTTACTTTCAAATTTTCGAATTTGAAAATTATTCTTCAAATATAAAATATGAAGCACCATATAGTACTTCTAAATTTAAAAAGACACCAGAAAGCAGATATCAGATATTTACTTTCAAATTTTCAAATTTGAAAATTATTCTTCAAATATAATCTATGAAACACCATATAGTACCTCTAATTTTAAAAAGAAACCAGAAATCAGATATCAGATATTTACTTTCAAATTTTCAAATTTGAAAATTATTCTTCAAATATAATATATGAAGCACCATATAGTACCTCTAATTTTAAAAAGAAACCAGAAATCAGATATCAGATATTTACTTTTAAATTTTCAAATTTAAAAATTATTCTTCTAATATAATATATGAAACACCATATAGTACCTTTAATTTTAAAAAGTCACTAGAAAACAGATATCAGATATTTACTCACACTACCCAGGTCGATGATTCCGGCTTCCGGATCCACCCGAAACTGACATGAACTGTGGCTCTTTCCCGCCATTTCCGACCGGTTCTGCCGTATTTTCCAGCGGAACCGCCCGGAAAACACACGGAAAAGGAAGCAGTAATTCTGACCGGAAAGCACCGTACGGTGACCCTACGATTCCCGACAAATCCACAAACCGAAATCAAATGGAAGACCACAGAAAACTGGCCGGAAATCCTCCGGAAACCCACTGTATCCTATCAGGATTCGAGGAGAAATCAAACGCATCAAGGGGAATACCGTAGGAAACCGTCTATATCAAACGATCCCCTAACATTTTCGAAAAGGAAAACACCGGAAATCGCAGGTGTCAGTGTTGGTAGATGTCTACGCCCTTGTCCTTGTTAGAATAAAGGTAGTGTTCCAGAAATCATCAGGCTTACTGCTTAAGTGACCTCGTTAGGGTTATAATACTTACATAGATATATGCACCGAAGTCTCCTCTACGTCATAAAGAAAACCGCACCTCGATATCATTGCATGCCCCTAGGATATTCGGAAATTAAGACACTTGAAAAAACCGTACTATATTTAGTACGGTGGGCCGGAAAGGGTTAATATTGATTTGTAGCTGAATTTGAAGGCACAGTTCGATAGGTGTCTTCTCTTTTAAGAGAGGGTCCGCGAGAAGACCACCCTACTCTCCATATAGGTCGCCGGGGAAAAAAAATGTTTTTTTCGATTTTATTTTCTTAAATGATAGGCCTAGGTAAATTATAGTTAAATCCAAAATATTAGCTCATTTGGTTTTACCTATGAAAAATACGAGCTAAAACAAGTTTAAGGGATCTATTTTGACCCAAAAAAGTTGCTAAAAATGGGTGTGCTCAGTATTTTGACATTTTCTCATGAATGGTTTGACCGTTTGAGATCGGGCACATCTCATTAGATAGGGAATAGTATAGGCTACAAATTTATTCAACTTTGATGATTCATATCTGAGATAAAAGAAACCATATAGATCAAAAACCTTCCAAATCTCAAGAAATTCGACACTCTTGGATAGCAGTATTTTAGGCTTTTCTTGAGTGGTGCAAGCGATCCCAAACTTCTTTTTTTACCATACATAGATCTTGTTGAGATACATCTTTTGACATTAAATTGTCAAGACGAAAAAACTAGGGAGCCAAGTTAGCATGGACCACACTGTCCCCTACCCTACCTAGTCACCATTGATTCTACCCCACAAAGGCATACAATTCCTACAGAAATCACGAAAATGGACTTCAGATTCGTGTCCAGCTTGAAAAACGGGGTTGGATAGGCTATTTTAAATTGATTCCTTACTTGTACCAAGTATGTTAATGACCATGGGTCCAGTTCGTGGCTATATGATACATATATGCAACGGTGTTTTGATAATAATTCAACAATAATAATAGTTATCGAGTTCGAGTTTTTACCATTTGTTATGCTTTGATTTGCACTTAATCTTAAGGACGTTCGAGTTCATTTTAATTGAAGCATAACTAACTGTGTCTTTATTTCACAATGCATATATGTATATATAACAACAATAAGAAGAGGAACACGAAAGAAATAGTCGAGGTATAGATGCCATGGCTGAATGGAACAGACCAAAACACCCTTCCCCTTGAAGAAAAAAGTTTTGTTCACAAACACTTTTTACTGAAAGAACATATGAAAATAACGAGAAAAAAAAACATGTGTAAAATATCAATAACATCTGACAAAAAAAATAACGAAAGACAAATGAAAGAAAAATATCTGTTTAACAAACAAAATCTGATAGATGAAAAAGAAAAAAGAAAAAAACCGGGAACAAATTACTGTTCGAATTAAGGATCACCTTCTAAATCTCCAATAATTCCTTCTGTTAAAACAATTGTATGGTAATGTTTCTTCATAATCACGTCGAGCTGCATTAGTTTTAACACCAATAACCACTTGATCATATGAAAATTTAATGTGTCGAAATTGTACACCATAATGATGAAGATCTTTTTTGATGATTTTTGATTTAAATTTAGAATAATATGGTCTGGTGAAATAATATGTAAATCGAGTTACTCGTAATTGCATGTTCCTTTTTCGATTTTTCTTTTGTTTAGTTTCAAATGATCTTTTTTTCCTAACTCGTTGTTGTTGATGTTCAGGTGTATTAACCTCCTCGTTAACAACCACAATGTGGTTGTCAACACTCTCCACTTCATCATCATTATTATCATCCATTATAACATCAGTTGTTGGTACTTCAATTTGTAATTCAACATCATCATCTAAATCTCGAATAATATCTTGTGCCATATCATCATTATTAATTTGATCTCCAGGATGATGGACGTTTACAACTGGTTCTATCAATTGATTTAAATAAATTTCATCCTCTGATGATATTAATTCATAGTCAGAATCATTAATGGATGTAAATATCTTCGACAATTTTTGAACATTAATGTTTTTTATCTTCTTTTTCGATTTTGGTTGACGTAATGGTGGTGGTCGTGTTGATTGAAATGTAATAAACGTTTCTTCAATGCTTGATTCTTTTGTTCTTGTAAACGACCATTGTTCAGTAATTGGTCTAATGAGATAAGTTACCGCCATCACGTCGTATTTAGCATAATTTATCATTTTTGTACGCTCTGCATGTGTTAATGATGAACCAATTGAAGATAGGCCATATGACCAATGTGACAAGGTACTTGTTTTATCTAAAAATAGATTAAAACTATATAAAAATGCTTTCTGTAATAACCAGAGCTGATGTTCATTGTATGGACTTGGACGATGACATGCACAAGACGATGTTGACAATTTTCGTTGACCAACAATAATATCATTATTCTCCATCGCCTGTTGTTCCAGGCTCTGGGTCCCACATTGAGTCCGAGCCCTCTCATACCAACCAGCAAAGTGCGGCTGAAGATTAATTAATTCTGATGTTATTGGCCATGCGAATAAATAATTTGCTGATTCAAGTTCGAGGTTCATGTTCCCCCATGAGTATATTTCATTACGTGATCTAAAAATTAATCTAAAAATTTCTTTAAGTTTTACATACAAGTGAGATTCTCGATTTGGCAGTTGTGATAATTCGATAATAAGTACTTGTGATGGTAATGTACGAGGAATTGTATGAAATTGTATAATGGATAATTCGTTGTTTGACATTTCACTATCAGTATCTACTGAATATTGATAACAATCATTTATGTGATTTAACACTTTGTCTATAACTTCCATTGACATGTATCGATTGATAAGTATAACTTCGTAACTTGTTTCTGGAATAACAAATGCAGGATAAATTTCCTTCAATCTTTGGTTCACAATAACCATATTCATGATGACTTGTAGAACTGAATCGAGAATAAATAAATGATGTGTTAGAAAGTGCAAGTAAATAACCAGTTGATGATGATGATAATTCAAGGAGTTGAATAATCAGTAGATTCAAATGTAAATTAATTCAAGTAAATAATCAAATAAGGTTCACGTTCGAACAAATAACAAAGAGAAAAATTTTCCAATAAATGAAGATTAATCAAGATGATTGAAAACGAAATTTCAAATAGATAATTAAATAACAACGTGTATTACAATCGAAGTGAATGATGAAGAAGAAGATTTAATTCTAAATAGATAAATAAATAAATAAATTAATGAACAATAGATAAACAAATAAATAAATAAATAAACATTGTATAACAATTATTTCACGATCGAACCATGCTCAGTAAATAAATAGACGACTCGATTCAATGGATCATAGAATAAAATCAGTAAATAATAAATAAAATAAAGGATATTGTAACGGAAAATATTTCTAATTGATGAATATAAGTCTTGAGAGGAGAAATTGTGTAAAACGTTCGGACAGCAGCGAAACGTAATAGTTTATTGAATAATAATAATAATAATAACAAGTAACAATAAATATATTGAATTCACACAGCAAACAATACACACTAGATTCTGTTCGTATA